GGGTTCAACATTTGCAAAGATTTCGCACGCAGCGGTAGGTGTGGATCTCACGCCACCATTTATAAAACGAAGGGCATGTTTTGGACCTTGTCAAGGGTGTTGCAAATAGTTGTACTGCACATAGTGAGTAGGCTATTGCTGTATTCCAGGGAAGATCGAACATAACCAAGGTATAGAGCTCTCAGAGTTTGTTTGATCCCCATGGACTGCTTGCGAGTTTCTTTAAAAGCTGGAGTCTTTTTTTTTCCTTGTTCCTTATGTTCTCCACTTGGCTTTTCATGGTTAGCCTATGGTCAAGTTTGACTCCTAGGTAAGTTGGATGTTCTTCTTTGGGGAGACTTTCATTTCCTATCTTTAGTTTGAGATTTTCTTTAGCTGCTTTATGGCTCTTCGTGAAGATGGTGTATACTGTTTAGCATGACATTGATAAATCAGCCCATATTTACAATTCTACTGTGCATAAGAACATGTCCTCCCTTTGGGAAAGGCCAAAAGACGTTTCAGTCAGTAGCACTGCCCTGGTGGTGGCGGGAAGGGGTTTGATTTAGACCTAATGTGTACTCACAGGGTTACTGCCAAACCGGTTTCTCAATTTTCCAGGGGGTCATCCATTTTCCAGGGCCATGTTACATAACACACACGTAAAATATATCCAGTCAACAACATGTCAGTGTCGCACTGGGGTCTTCTTTGACTTAATTATAAGTACTATTTCAGTCTGTTATAATATTTTCCTCTAATTATTATATATATTTAAAAAATGAATCTTGCTTTGAGCGTTCGGAGGGGCCTTGAACAAGAACTTCTACTGTCAAGAACCGGTCTGGGTGTCATGACTCGTATTATGAACGTGAAAGACAAAAATTATTGCTCAAATTAAAAGTAGAGTAATATAATAACTTGAATGGCTCAAGTAGACCTATTCAGTGTGAGAGTTATAAAAACTGCGGGACGGCAAGGGGCAGTGACACTGAAAATCTGCCAGTCTTGAACAGAACGCTACAATATTGTTCTAATTTACTATCCACCCAACCAATGAAACGCAAACACTTTATCTCAATAACACGGCTTACAAGATATGAAGGATACCGATTCCACACAAGGCCTGCACCAACGCGCGCTTTGCAGAGGGCTATAAATCTAATCAAAATTCTGAAATTTGCTCACAAGTTTTTGTTCTCTGGTGTTGCCTTCAGCCCCTCTCGCCTCCCCCGAGTGTATCTAAAAAAAAATAAAAAAAATCAATAATCCCTGCCCCATTCCATAGTCCTATACTTCGCAACGCTCAGACTTTTTTAATGAACTTTGGTGACCCCAACAAACGCCTGTGCTCACCGAAGCCGTATCTTGTGGTGCCTCGCGCGAAGGTTCACTGACCGGTCACTATGGCGAACCCGACAATCTTACGATCGGACGACGCTTGTATTTTCTTTTCACCCCCTCCCCCTCCCCCTCCCACACACACACACACAAGTGACAGCACGGTGACGAGTCCGAGCAATGATTAAATTTTATTTGCACGGCGACACAGCGTTTATCCTGTACAACCTGCAAGTCACAAATGTTGCGTTATCAGTCTATAGCCGGCAAATTTCTGGGTGGTAACAAAAGCGAAAATAGATCTTGATTTTCCCAATCGAGCCTTGGGTGTCACATACACTTCCGCCTGCCGCCTTTTCGCATGAAACGTACTCTCAGACGGCGAAAAGGTGCACGAATATTATATCACAATCGCGACCGTCAAAAACGGAGTCATGTACTGCGGCTAGGGTTCACTGAAAAGTCTTGCTGGCTTCATCACTCTGTAGGCAGGTTAATTTACGACTTTTTACCAAATGTTTACTACCTTCAAGGCAAATTTACTACCTTTACGACCAGGGCATCGAATTTACTACTTTTTACTACTTTACAACCTTGCTGGACACCCTGCTATTGTGTTTGTGTGGACATAGACTGGTGAGGAGATGAGTGCATACACTCAGTACAGGCATTTTATACTTCTGCAAATACATGTATAGAATTTACTGATCACACTATTCATGGCATTTGGAATTTCTTCAGTAGCTAATTTTTAACATTCAAGGAAGTCCATGCCGGCTTTAAGCACGATCATTGGGAGAAGTGAGTAGACATTGTTCACAATTCTGAGGTTTTTATGTGGAAAATTTCCTGAGTTTTTACCCTTTGTTCGTAAGTAGTGGTGGCGCCAAAGTGTGCGCTGTCATTTTTACCCGCCATGGTAGTTTTTGTTTCATTGTTTTGTTTTGTGGTCGAATCAATGTAGTGGAGTATCTTTGGTCGAATGGGAAAGGAAAACTTAATTTAGACGGCCAGTCATGGTCCAGCACACTAGGCCTAGGCTTTTACACACTGCCTGTGCCTACCACTGCTCGCTGTCCCACATTCATCCCACCTCGCGCGTGATACATAATTAGGATTGTCGGATAGCGAGGGGCAAAGGTGAAATCGCAGCCAGCCTCCCTTTCTCGTCATCCCGACTCTCTTTGTATTTTTTTCGTCTGTGTGTATCTTTGCCCTAGGCCAGTCTTATGTCTATGTTCGCAGCTATGTGCCTCTATCTGCATTCCTCTCCGCGTGTGTGTCCATCAGTGTGCGTTCTTTGTGTTTCACTTAACACACTCACTGCTTCGGTGTAGACTGTTCAAACTTTGATGGGTCATCATGAAAGTATTGACTGTCTTGTAAATGAAGCGTGCCCGAAGCCGAAGTTACCGTGCTTAAAGGCGTGTAATTCATATAGCAAAAATTCGGTAAGAGCTCTTTAGACTGCTTGAGTCCGAAACGTGCTTCATGCTGGCGTGCTTAAAGCCAGCACGGACTGTATATTTAGGCAAAAACATCAAAACTCAAACACAGCACTTTATCAATGAAAATACACTGCAATTTATTCTATCGGAATCTTTTTCACTCATCATGTTCAAATTCAGTCTTCTAATTCTTCCCACACAGCCTTTTATTTCTCTTCTCACTAACTTTCCTTCACAGACATGATTTTATTCATTTTTACCCTCCCACATACACTGAACTCTTATTCATTCAGAATCTCTCTCTCTCTCTTCTCTCTCTCTCTCTCTCTCTCCCTCACTCAATCAGAATCGTCATCACTGTCATCATCACTGTTGTCATCAGCCCCAGTGTCTCCACTCCCTGGCGCGCTGTCCACTAAACCAGAAAAAAAATCATTCTGTTTTGCTTTCCCAAACTTGACTTTGTTTTTCTTGGCCTGCTTGGTGCCCCTCTTGCTAGTGTCCACTGTCTGAGACTTGAGCTCCTCTATGTTCCAGAACTTGACCTTCTGGTCATGAGAACAGCTGGCTACGCAGGAGAGGTCAGAGGTCAGGGTCAAGGACTCCACTGGAAAATCCTCCATGTGTTGGCCCACAAGTCCAAGCACTCGGTTTGGTAGGACGTGGACAGCCCTGGACAAAAGAAAAGAAAATAACATCACTGTATTAAAATATAAATTAAATGCCGTGTATACTAAACTGGCTGTCCGATGTACACTTCAGTATTTGTCATCTGATCTCTTGTACACCTGAGTATTGGAACAATAATGCTGGTGGTTGGCGGGTGCTCTGGTGTGGTTTGCTTTTTCCAAACATCTATCATCCTTATCTCTCCTCCTTTTTTTTGTTTGGTACTCTCTTATAAAAACACCTTTAATCTTCATCACTTGTATAACTTAATTGTGTTGCAATTGCCATAAAACCAAACAAGGAACGACAATCACAGCCAGAAAAAAAAAAAAAATTTTTTTGCAAGACTTCATTACAACAGCTGGAACTGGAAGGAAGTCAAATGGGATAATGCTCTTGACATATATTGGAAAAAGGAAAAAGACAAAAATCAGAGATATTCTCATTTTTCCAAAGGTAAACGAAGCAATTATGTTTCAACTGAAAAATAACACAAATTTTATAAATTTGCACTCATTATATTGGAAAACTACACACCGGTAACATGAATTAAAGGGGTGGGGAAATAAAGGCTAAAAATGGAATTCTTGGTATGATGATACTCGTCAGGGAAGACTTCATAACATAGAATTTTAACCCTATGCCTACGCCCTGGGGTCATTTTGTACCCTTGGGGTTGTATTCTTCACATTTCAGAATACTTCTAGTACGAAGATCTCTTTTAAATTTTCAGTATTTCTAAAAAAAATCATTTAGACAGGCAAAGTGTACAGATGGGATTAAGTTAATTTCCTCTTTGGAAAGTGGTGGCACAGAGTTCCCCGTGTCATATGGATATGATAGTAAAATACGACGTACGGATAGGGTTAATAAAACAACTGGATGGCTTTATTATTTTATGTATTCTGAGTTTTTACCATTAAAATTGTCCAAACTCAAACTCCATAATAAATCGTGGGTAAGCCCAGCTGTTTTTTTTCATTTTATTTTCATGAAACAACCTAAAAATGATTTTAGACTATTTATTTTTCAGACCCCTTCAATTACTTTCAAAAACTGGAGACAGACAAAATAGGAGAAAGCATACCTCTCTCACCAACACAATTTCATGAAAGAACCAGAGAGCAAATCATTTTATCAAGCTTTTTTTCCAAGTTGTGTCTAAAAACAGTCTGACAATATTGAGAGCTGGACAAAGGAGTTTTCTTATAAAGCACGGTGATATCACGAGTTCCAATCAGTTTGTTCAATTTGTAAACAATTTCAGTTGTAAATTAAATACCATTCCCTCAGCAGTGGAAACTGGTACGGTAGTCTGTTTTGAAGGTTCACAATCGGTAAATCAATCCTTAATTACACCAAACTGTATGAACCAATATGAACTTATCCAAAATTCATGGTTGGTGGGTGCTCAGATGTGGTTTGCTCTTTCTTTCCTATTAACACATTACACCCTAAGGGTCTGGACGGAAAGTCCATTCCTTGATCCAAAGCAAGGGGAAGGAACCCACCTCCCGTGAATACAAGCGTTTAAAAAACACATTTAAAAAATACTAAACAAATTCTGAAATTCCTGAAAAATATAAAAGTTGAAAAGAAAAATGAATGTAGTTTCAGAAAAATATAACTTTATGTATGCGTAAACTGTTGGAAATGTTATATAGCTTTAGTTCAATAGGGGTGTCCGACCCGTCACTCTCACTCTCAGCCTTGCGGTCGGGCCCTAAATCTAAATTCTAGATTTTCTACATCTAATTAATCTGAATCGCCCCAAACTCTTGCTGTTTTCATCAAAATCTGATTCATCTTTTTTTTGGTCATATGCTTGCTTTTGCTCAAATCCATCGTTATTTCCTTTTTCAAACTCAATTGTGTCGCTTTTCAACAAGTCGAGACACCTTCGAATTGTCAGTAACGCCATCGCACTTCGATCGGCTCTAATACTAAAACTACTGGCCCCAAAAATTTCGTTTCAGTATCAAACAGAAGAAGAAACTTTTTGCAATATCAGGGCTGAGAATGGCATACCACAAAAAAGGTTGAAAACTTGGGGGGTCCGGGGGCATTGAGATGGAAAAAACAACAAAACAGAGTTCACACATCCTTGAAAGGTCATTTTCAGTCTTTTAATGATTTTGTGGAGCCAAATTTTTATTTTCAACGATTTAGTTACTTGAATTAGCATGTCATGTCAATATTTTCAAGAATGTGAGCCCTGATGCAATAAATACACCAAAACATATCTTCTTTATAAAAAAACCCAACAACACACAATTCCTAAAGACTGACAGAGGGAAGAAGGCGTCTTAATTCTCTTCTGGCTAAATGTTTTTAGCCTGCTACCCGTCATGATGAAGAACAAGCAGACAAGACCGAAAAAAAAAAGGCTACAGGGTTGTGAATATGCGTGGGCTAAAGTCACCACAGTTCACGTAACTACTGGTACTCTATTGTCACAACTGAATGCTATTCTATCAGTAATGAAGAAGAATAAAAAGTACTCGATTGAATGGTATCGGCCGACACACGGATGCACACACACCTCGGATTCGTCCAGCGAGCACTTAAAAAACTTCTAAAATTATTACTGTCTTTTATTCAATTCGTTTTAAAAAAGTTCTTACTACAATATTATTATAATACGAAACTCGAAAAAAAAAGCGGAAAAGGCGTTCGGATGAGCAGACGGTGGTGTTGAAATGAGCGGAATTAGGAGGACAATTCTCAGCCCTGAATAACTATGCACATCAAAATCTCGGCCCCAGAGTCTCGTCAAGGCAAGACTTCGTTTCTAAAGACGCTAGGTCGGTGCGGGCGGTTCCGGGCGAGTTAGGGTGGAGTGCTTAAGGAAATTCCAGAGCGATCCCGGGTGAGTTAGGGTGTAATGTGTTAAACAATTATCATCCTTATCCCTCCTCCTTTTCTTTGTATTAAATTGTATGTTACTCTCTTGGTAACACCTCTAATCTTTAGCACTTATATGACATATTAGGATTGCAAGTGGCATAAAACTCTTACTAGAAAAAAACCCAAAATATCCTTAATAAATAAAACTTACTGTATGTTTCCATCACTGGTCCCTGCACACACAACGTTGTCTGTAATTGGGACCAGACTGTCCACTTGGTCTTGACCACAAGGAAATCTGTCACTGATATTGCCCCACTGACCCCAGTTGAAGATGTTCAGGACGCCCTCACTCGTGCCACACACCAGCTTGCCACCACCCTACAATGTCAACAGCAAAGATCAAAGGTTACTTGAGCTTTCAAAATACCAAAAAAAACAGTACCGTATTTTGGGATCAAACCAAAATCCACACAAAAAGAAAACTGTATAGAGGCACATTAGCCTTGACTTTTGTAGTTGCAGTGCTGTCGGTGTCAGCATTGTGGAGAGAATTTGGCTTTGTAGTGCTGTCAATGTTGTGTCTTTATGTAAGGGCTACAAAGATGCAGATCAAAACTGGAGATACTTTTAGTGATTGCATATGTAAGGCAAACCATGCAAAAGCGCTTATCAAACGTCTGAAGAAATGCATAGTTAAAGTCAAACATCATCTATTATCAAATAAGAACTGGAACAAGGAACTAGCATCATTAGTGTTGTAGTATGAAGACAGAGGACAGCAAGGGAAGTTTTATTTCCCAACATAGCCTTTGAGAAAAAAAAAAGTAACTATACATGACGTTAGCCATCTCCATGACCCGGACCCCACATGAATTACCGAACGCAAAGTCAGAACATTTCTCATACGGATTAAAGCAACAGTAAAGCAAAAGGAAGGCAGACAGCATCCTGTGACACACAAGTACCTTCATCCTGGCCAAGCACAAAAGTTCCGAGTCAAACAACTCCGATTGTAGCTCCACTCGCCGCCGCCGGATGTTAAAGGAGGTCAATGTCCCCTCACCACTGAAATAAATAATTTATATATTTATTTTTTGCGTAATATATTTTAAAAAACATAAAATGTCATACAGCATACTGGGCTTAACTGCATACATTTAACGTCACATGACAAACTGAATGCCATTTCACATAATGAACGTCAAATGACACACAGGACATCACGTAACACACTTGACGTCATTCAACATTACACTGGACATTATCGGACACACTGGATTTCACAAACACACTACACATTGACTGACACTACACTTGAAATTGTCTGACACACATGGCGCCATCTGACACCACACTGAATGTTGCATGACATACTGGACATCGACTGACACTACACTGAATGTTGCATGACACACTGGACATCGACTGACACTACACTGAATGTTGCATGACACACTGGACATCGACTGACACTACACTGAATGTTGCATGACACATGGAACATCGACTGACACTACACTGACTGTTGCATGACACACTGGACATCGACTGACACTACACTGAATATTGCATGATACCCTGGATGTTATCTGACATACTGGACATCACATGACATCAGATCAAACCTAATGACTGTAACTTCAACCTCCTACCCACCTTGCTGCAATAACGATCTTCTTGTTATCTTCCACAATCATATCACTGATGAAATCCTCACACTCTTTCATCTCCATTGTGGCCTCCTTTGTCCTCATGTCCCACACCTGAGACGACAACAGTAAAGATTTCATACATCAGCAGCAAACATTTCATACAGCAACAGAAAATATTTCATACATCAGTAGCAAACAATTCATACCGCAACAGAAAAATTTCATACATCAGCAGCAAACAATTCATACAGCAACAGAAAAGATTTCATACATCAGCAGCAAACAATTCATACAGCAACAGAAAAGATTTCATACATCAGCAGCAAACAATTCATACAGCAACAGCAAACATTTCATACTGCATGAGCAAACATTTCACACAAGACAGCAAACATGTCATACAGCAACAGCAAACATTTTGAACAGCAACCCCTCCCCTCACCATATCAGACTCAAATGATAACAAAAGACACTAAAGTCAGCCCACATTACTTTTATACTATTTATAAAATATGCTGACATCTGATTTTTACGAGAACATGCTAACTGAACTGATTATAGAACACACAAAAAAAAGAGTAGACCTATTTTTTTCCAGTTACACCAGTTTGAATATAATCCTCCATATACAGCTGAAAAACAGATTTGCAGCAACACTTTGGAGTAAGTTGGTAAATTTAAGTTAAGAAATTTGGTGAAGTGAATTGAGCAATCTTGGTTCAAATGAAATTCAGAGACAAACAAGATTTGAGCATCTTTGTGGCCTTCACCGTACCTTTCTGGAATGGAGGTAAATATTGTTTTGTTTGAGTTCGTTTGTTTAGTAGAGAGGAGCACAATGACACACTAGGGACCGTTCACAAATGACGTCAGCTAAAATTCGGCCAAAAAATGCCCCCCCCCCCCCAATTTTCTGTCCCCTCACCCAGTTGATGTCAACCAAAGTGTACATATGTACATTTAGCTAGAACCTGTTCTAATCTAGCTAGCTTCTAGTTCTAGCAGTCTGTGCTATGGGGGAGATAACTGTTAATTTTAGTTTTTAGACAAAAAAAATAATATGGTTCCATTTAAAAGTTTAAAAGTGCTAATTTTAGGCCAAGAAAATGTGGTCTATATTTTTGCTTCCATTCTTTTCGGTTTATTCCCAGCATTTTAGTGCATCATGGTTGATGTCGACTTTGTAAGGACCCCCCACCCCTCCCCCATTGTCAACTTTTGTCAACCTTTTACTGACACCCCCCCACCTCTGAGATGACGTCATTTGTGAATGGTCCCTTAGGGAATGACTAAGAAAGATAAAAGAAAAACAAAAGGAAAGAAAAGAAGTAAGACCTACCAGTGACGTCATCCAACTACTCCCCCCCCCCTCCCTTAAATGTTCAAAGGTTCTGTTTCTTTTGTTTTTTGTTTTTGTAAAGTGTTTTATGGCGCTCGCAACTGCATAAGGTCATATGAGCGCGCGGGACACACCTAATATTTTCAGTTGGTAGGAAATTTTGAATTTTGCGCGGGTGGCGGCCGAAGCCTACTCTTATCGGTTTTAGACCACCAAGGGATCTTTAACGTGCGCAACTTGCACACGGGCCCTCCGAGATTTTTCGCCCTTGTCCGAGAAGGCTAGGTGTAGATCTTTCCTACCAGAAGATCAGGGGTGTGGCAGAAAGACAGCAGTAAGGAGAAGCCAAGGAGTAAGAGTAGAAAGGCTGCAGAAAGAGTCAGGAGCCCAGAGGAGGGGGCAAAGCAGACAACAGAACATTGCTAGAGAGCAGGAAAGGAGGTGAAAGGAGACAATTTTAGAGAAGACAATTTTTTGGTCGCTTCCCGGATTCGAACTAGGGACCTTTTGAATGAGAGGCCAACACCTTAACCTCTAGGCCACGAGAGCCCCCCTGTTTCTTTTTAATTACATAGACTGTTTTAATTTGTGTACTGTGTACATGGATTTTTTGGATAAAAACTTCTTGTAACTTATCAACACACTCTAATTGTTTCATATTTCACACTACCGACAAAGACAATTCCGTCTCCTCCGCTCAATATCAGTCGTAAGACGCTGTGTGCTATTATCAGCTACGAGGCTCGAAAGAAAAAAAGTGACTTTCCAGGAAATTTTTGTTTTTTAGATCTATTGAAAGTTTGATGTCTTCTGCTTCATATAATAAGATAAAAATAAACAGCTATAATCGACCATAAATATTTTATTTTGATTTATTTTGGAGGTGTGTGTGGTTTGTTGTGAGCCTTGGTGACGAGATAAAGGAATTTGGACCTTGCTAGTGTGTAGTTGTGAGATTATTTTTAGAACCATTATCTCATGGCCACCTTTGCTTCAAACAAATATTCTCCACTAGTGGAGTACCTTTGCTTCAACGTTCTTCATTCGCAAATATTTTAAGATTTTGACCCCTTTTCGAGCAGGAATGGTCAGAAATGTAAACAACTCTGATTGGTAAAATGGAGGAAAAACGGTAACTTCTAGCTCACTTCAAGCTTGTTTACGTAAACAGCTGACTGTGTGGGCGTGCCCTGCTAGCTGTTATCGTCTTTTGATCTTTCAGTTTTACACTTGAATTGACTTTAAAAATAGGTTTTTATTGTGTTTTAGTGCTTTTAAAAGATTAATTAACCTCCTCTAGATCTCTCAAAGCGGACTCCTTACCAAGAGGCCTCCGAGGCAGTTTATGTGCATGTGTGGTGGTGTGTTTGTATGTGTGTGTGTATGTGTGCATGTGTGTGTGTGCTTGTATGTGTTTGTATATGTGTATGTGTGTCTGTGTGAGTGTGTGTGAGCTCTTGTCTGTTTATGGTGCTATTGCAAACGAATAATGAGGTAGCGTAAACACGCCACGTAAGCGACTCGCGGTCTTCCGAGAGCGGAGTTTTGGTAAAATGGGGGTAATTCAGATCTCAGTTTCTTTGCTCTTTTGCTATAAAACACCAAATACTGAACACTTTGAAAAAGTTCAGACTTTCTTCATTACAATAGTGTAAGTTGTTTGTATATCCGATTATTTGGAGCTAGAGAATTGCCTTGGAAAGGGAAGCCCCTCGCAGTCGGAATGCGAGGTCGGCTGGTTCAAAATTGACACCCATGCATTCGAATGCTTTGCAGAAAGATTGACGATTAAATATCCTCTTTTCATAGACGGAGAACTGTACAGCTTTGAGCGTGGTTTCTCGTGGTTATAGTTATTATTTTTGGCCTATGGCATTTGGATAGAAAATTTTGAAAAAAAAGAGTCTACGTTTTCAAAGCTCATTATTAAAACGAAATATGTAAAACACCGGCTAAAAAAGGTACAATAGAAAGAACAGTTCTTTTTCTATTAGAATAAAGTCATCGCCTTGGAATTATTTTGCATGAGTCTTTCCGCGAAGCTACCGGGAGCATTTAGTACACTACAGTATGGAGCCGACTCGCTCGCTGTGGGGACTGATGTGGTAACGGCTGAGACAACGCTCTGTGTTTTTATTGAAATAATGACAGATCATCGCGTTTGAGGCAATAACATATTGATTTGTAATTATCTCAGTCTTGAAAAAATTAGACTTCATTTCTTTGTTAAAATGATTGTACTCTGTTAATATAGAGAAGTTTGGTGCACCTGGTACTCTTTTATTATCTGTCAATCATGGGGTTGCAGTCAGTTAGCAACTTCATCAATATTATGTTAAATTGAAACAGCTGCCATTCTCTTAAACATTGACTGAGAGGTGAAAGTAAGGTACCAAAATTCACAGGAGACATAGGCCTTTCAAATGAAACAGACGAATTTGACATACAGTTACTTTGAAAATTTAGTGTGTGGTCCCTAGTATAATGCTAATATTTTGTTGCATTTGACCTGAAGTCCATTCTCGTGAAAATTTAGTTTTGTCCATAAGTTTTCTACTTCTGTATGTTACTTTGTAGTGACATAGCCAAGATAACTGTTAACTTTCAAGTCTCTATCTCAATTCTAAGACCCCCATTGCTATGGAAACATGTTGCTCAACTTCGGAGGCCATTTTCTCCTTTTCGTGTTTCGTAACCTCGGACAATTAAAAGTTCTGTATTTTCGTCAAATATGGTCATATTTACTTCATTCCTGCTTTAAATTGTAGGGAAAAGGTGATAGTTGTTGACAATAATATTAACTCAGTTTTGAAATTTCCTTCTTATGACTGATATTGACCGGCAGGGACACAATTTATATCTACCAGTATCTAAGGGGTAAACGTAAAGCAAAAAGTAATCATACATTAAGAATCAACCCCCCCATATATATCTTCAAGAAACTTTAGTCTGGCATTTTTTATTTTCGATCTGAAACAATGACCTTTAACATAACTATACAGGAGCCTACCTTGAGAAGGCCATCATCATCACCAGTTGCAATAAATGTATCACCAGTGACAACAACACTGTAAATTGGAGATCTGAGAAAAAAAAAGGCAAATAATACATAGTCAGAGTATGAAAGTCATTAAAATAAAACACAAATCATTCTTAAAGGTTGGCATGATAGGAAAGCAAAAATAAGTCTCAAAAATTGATATGAAAAAGTAAACCATGCACCCATTGCCATACATAGCAGTCTACACACAACAAACTCGCTCTGCTCAAATGACCACTTTTTTCCGAGCTTCTTTACTTCATAACTTGCAAATCAAAAGGTGAGCTCACTATACTCACTGATAACTTCTAAAAATACGTTTCATTCTGAAAGGTATTCACTTTTCCAAAAACAATTTTACTGTTCTTTTCTCCTTACTTGATCATCATACTCATACCACACTGGCCTGTAATATTTAGAAAAACAAGCTAACATTGAAATTATTTGAGATTGGGAACACATTGTACCTGTCTCGGGGGGGGGGGGGGGGGGGCCTCCCGTGGCCAAGAGGTTAAGACGTTTGCTTCTCATTCAAAGGTCTCCTTTCACCTCCTTTACTGCTCTCTAGCAATGTTCTGTTGTCTGCTTTCGTCTCCAAGTTGTGCCCCCACCCTGTCACCTCCTTTGACCCCTCCTCTGGGCTTCTCACTTTTTCTCCTGCCTTTCTACTGCTACTCCTTGGCTTCTTCTTACTGTTGTTTTTCAGCCACACCCCTGATCATCTGGTAAGAAAGATCTACACCTAGCCTTCTCGGACAAGGGCAAAAAATCTTGTAGGTCCCGAGCGCAAGTTGCGCATGTTAAAGATCCCTTGGTGGTCTAAAACCGATAAAAGTAGGCTTCAGCCGCCATCCGAGCAAAATTCAAAATTTCCTAAAATGTTAAAATGTGTCCCGCGCGCTCGAATGACCTTATGCAGTTGCGAGTGCCGTAAAACACTAACAACTCCCCCCCCCCCAAACAAACCCCTCTCAACCATTTGTAATCTTATTCTTAAAATTTTCAGACAGAAGTAGGTCTATACAACTGATATGAGCTCTTTGTCAACAGTACTTTCCTTTCAGTGATTCTAAAAGTTTACTTCTTTATTGCGTTTAACAGATCACACAACTTTATTAAGAGCATGCCGCTTCCTACAAAAAGAATTTTGGTACTGTTAATTTAAAGAACAAGTGAAACAAATAAAAGATCTTTGAGCCCTTTAAATGCATAAGTTTCATTTTGTCAGTGACTTCAAGGGAAGATCTTGAGAAGAGGAGAGTCATCATTGGAAAAAGAAAAGCTGAAAAATAAGCATCCCAACGGACGTTGCGAGAGTCTAGGTCATGTAATCATGAATGCCTGAATAATGCAGAAAATTTTCATTAAATATTTTTAAGGGAAAATTGCGGAAAAAAGATAAAGATAGGATGAAAGTCATTTTAAATAAAAATTAAACAGCTTGTTCACTTTCCTCTGACAGTGGTTAAGTCAAGGTGAAAAGAAATCGCTCATTTCAATCTTCTCTGATCTTTGCATACGGGTCTAAAAATTAGATGACCAACGTTCCAATACGTTTTCTTTGATGTTAGTCTAAATCGGGTCAAAAAAATAATAAGGGATTTACAGCATACACCTAAAACATTTAAAAGTTGAGAGATTTTCCTCAACACCACACTTTAACGTTCACCTAAGAAAAATGATTCAAGAGATTAATTTTCGAGCCCAAGTGGATACATCTCGACAGCCATGAGGTGAAAGCGACAAGCTCATATTGAAATTTGAGATCAGGGTGGTGTCCATGGCTCAAAATGACTAATTTGTAAGCAAGGCTACTGTAAGTTCATTTATTTTAGTGATCCTGTGTATGCATCCAAAGAGGGATATCTGATATAGGGCCCAAAAAGGAAAACTTTTTTTATTATTGGATCAAAATATTTTTGTTTGGTTGTTGGCCTGCAGAAGTGCCATGCAAAGTTTAGTGGGCATTGGTAAATTAATAAAGGAGCTAGATTTTTTAAAACTCGGACAGACGAAAGTGAACAAGCTATAGTGTATTTTTTCTTCCCCCAAGCCCACCAAAAGATCAGGCTAGTGGGGAATTTCTTACTCATGTGCCTTTTTTATCTTCCTCTTCAGCTTGCCTGTGTGAACATCCACGCAGAAAATGCTTTTGTCTTTTGACACAGAATACAACCGTCGCCCGTCATCCGTGAAGCCCATAGCTCGACAAGACTTTTTGTGATGAGTAAACTTGTGTATTTGTTTACTTTCCTCAGAACAGCTGTAAGAATGTCTGCAAAAAAGAAAATTCAGGTATAATTTTATAAGTAATTGATTTTTAGGCCTTACATCACAAAACAATTGTAACAAAAAAAATAATATCTTCTAGACTGCACTGTGTGTGAAATATCTTCAAACCAAACCTTAAAAAAAGCACACTATTCAGATAGTAATTGAGATGCTAGAAAAAAGAAGAACACTGGCGGACACAGATTAAAATTTTGTCTTGAGAGATAATGGAAGGTACCCAAGAGTCAAAAGGTAATGGAAGTTTGATTTCAAGATGTGAATTGGTCAAAACTTCAAAAAATGTTGTGAAAATTGTTCTTTCGGGCCACCCAAAGTCATGCTGAATTGAATATATTTTATTTCTAAATTCACTTAAGTTAGTTTGAAAGACGTTAAACTAAAATTACAAAACACAATAGCAAAACAAATGCACAATGGGTTTAGCACCACTGTTGACAAGTTGTGAGCCCTGTAAAACTGTAATCAAACAAAGAAGTTGACTAAATTCTCTCACTACAAAATTGTTACACATAGAAGATTACGCTCACGCTGCAAATAACCTCTGGCTTAAATCAAGCAACTCTTGTTCATACATATTATTTACTTTCTTTAATATTTAAACAAGTTCCAGAGTGTCTTTGAATTAACATTTATTTATACAAAATAAACTTCTGGCAATATTTAACCTCGGTCCCCAGTAACTTTCAGGCAACCATTGTTCACATGACCCTCTTTCAATATTTCATCTATTTCTTGAGTAGCCTTCTATCATCTCATTTGCCTTCAGAAAACAAAGAACTCACAAGTAGACTTCTCCATTTATAAGACCAGAAGCAATGAGGCTTTCAGACGGGTGACATTTAACTGTGGTCACAAGGTCCTCAAACACTAGGTCAGATGGCGAGAGCTGCTCCTACAAAAACAGAAAGTAAATTAAGGGTCAGCATACAGACAATAAATTCCACACAGCAATATCGAATCACCAATTTATAATCAATTTTCCAGTTGATGATGGAGACAATCAGCCTGCCCACACTGAAATGGACCCTCATGAAAAGGGGCGAGGAAGCATGGAGAACCCCGTCTTCCTAAGACCCCAGTTCTACATATTCAAGTGATTTCTCAGAGAATGGTCATAAAGGAGAAGAGATCCAATTTTTTGAAAAATACATATTGAATCTTGCGCTGACATCACAGAAAAAAAGTCTTGAAAGCCATCTCTTTGTACAACTGCTCTTTCTCCTTGATCTGTGAAAGGTAAATATACAGTCAAAACTCGTTAAACCACCACCCTTGGGGAGAGCATGAAGTTGGCGGAACAGCAGAGCTGGCCTCAAGATCTTGCTGCAGAAGTTTTCTGTCACCCTATCCTCATACTGAGTCTGAATGTTCAATCAATGTAAAGAACCAACTGGCCATGTCACCTTGCTAGAGGCACGACCTATTAAACAAGAGGGACGGGACTTAGTGCAGCGTATACCCAATGAGGAGCGAGTGTCCAAGTCCAATGAACTGAGCACACTGCTGTTGCCTACACCTTATATGACATCTGGTAATAACTGCTGACATCAGCAAACATCATGAAGTAATATGACAGGCATATCTGTCTTACGCCCACCCTAGGAAAATTTCCAATCGCCACATGGCTGCAGTGAAAAGAGACAAACGGTAACAAATTTCTCATTTGTATACTTCCAACTATGCAAAAAGTGGAAATGTTGTTAGTGTGTGTAGCACCTTACAGTGGTCATAGGCTGCCCGGGTCAAGGTTTCTTTTGTTTATTTGTTTTCTCTTGTCAAGTATAGTTTTGTTTAGTGAATGACCGCTCTACCAGGGTAATTTCTGTCTGTTGGCACCATTTCGTTTTTAAAAGCCTGCAAACCAACAGAACATGGGCTTACAATGTCTGGAACTCAAAACGGAATATTGAAAACCTTTTCAATGAGTTGTTGGTGGTCCACAGAAGCCATCTGCCTATAATGTGAACAATCACTTATTTCTGTGATCTTGAGCGACCAATATTGACAGGTTCGATTGCAATAAAGAGTGGCTTCATAAATTTACATGTTGAAACTCTACTCTGTCTATACTCTATACAATATTATTGATACTTAACTAACGTTTCTCAAAACTTCATTTTTCAGGTCTTGTTCAATAGTTTGTACATCACCATTTGACTATTTCTGGAGATAAAGTCTTCAAATTTAGCATGGGGCCAGCTTATCCATTTCTACAAATAAAGAGAGATTTACAATTTTTGTATGTCTTACTTTTTTTACACCTTGATGTTTAGGAGTGAGTGGGGTATTTTCTTATAAAAACATATGGTTCACTTTGATGACTTTGAAAAGTACCAAGAAAAAGGATATAGCAGACAATAAAAGGTTCGTTCTCTCTAAGTACAGCTATATCACAAGAAAACATTTCAAGCAGAAAAATGACCAAAGAGTGAAAATTATAGGAACAGTGATGTACCCAAAAAAGAATGTATTTTTTGCATTTCTTTCAAGATGGCCACCGTCTCCATGGTAACAAATAAGTCTGAGAAAACAATGCATGGTTGAATCGAAATATTTTCACACAAGGTTACAATTGGTAATAGCAGTTTTTATTTTAAAGGATGGATAAAAAAAACCATGTTGGATAAATGTAGAGTCCCCTTAACGATTTGGGTTTTCTAGGCCTTGGAAAGTATGATGATGTAATTATGACACGAGTTATGAACGAACTTATAAATTTTACTCAGCAATAACATCATCATCAATATAAAAAAAATAAAATTATGTCTATAGACACATGGTGTTATGACGGTGTATACTAAATATTTTCAAAGTTTGAATGCACTTCTGTTTGATAGTTTAGGATTAACAATTCTGAGGTGTTTAAATTTCTTGGGGGGTTTTTTCATAGAAGTTTCATCCATATTTGATTTTTATGGGATACAGTATAATTCAATCTAACTATACTATTTATCTGATAAAGGAAAGCAGATTTTTTTTTTTTTTTTTTACTCATGTACCTGCCTCATTAACATATGTTTTTGGGTTTTTTTTTCCTAATAGTAATTTGCATGCTGAACACGAATATATAAAGATGGCCTTCATTTTTGTCACAAATCAATAGTTATTGAGTTATTGATGTTTGAAAACATAAAGTAACTATATTACAATAGGGCCAATGGCGTATTTGATTTGTTTTTAACAAAATGGGGGGTTTCAGGGGGAATCTGGGGGGGTTTCAGGGGGGCATGCCACCCTGCATTTCATCATGATTTGATGTTTTGGCAATTAGGATTGATATTTACTTGAAAACAATTGAAACGCAAAGATTATAGTGGCCATATGTATGTTCTGAAGCAAAAATTATGGCAGTTTAGCTCTCAAATCAGTTTTTGGGTTTTTTGGTAAGTGTTTTACAGCAATCGCAACTGCAAAAGGTCATATGAGTGCGAGGGACACACCAAACATTTTCAGTTTGCAAGAAAATTGTGAATTTTGCCCGGGTGGCGGCCAAAGCCTATTCTAATCGATTTTAGACCACCAAGGGATCTTTAACGTGTGCAACTTGCACACGGGACCTCCGTGATTTTTCGCACTAGTCCTAGAAGGTTAGGTGTAGATCTTTCCTACCAGAAGATCAGAGGTGTGGCTAAAAGATAGCAGTAAGAAGGAGCCAAGGAGTAGGAGTAGAAAGGCTGCAGAAAGAGTCAAGGCTGTTACGGCTATATTAATGACATGCCGTTAAACATAGAAAAGACGCATCTTGCTGATTGATTGGCAGCTAATTTTAGTACTGTGATGTCATCAATTCCTGGGATACCCACATGGAACGACGTGTTTTCGTCCTAGATCTAGATCTAGATCGTTGATGCTCAGAACAGTAAGATTAAGAACGCTGATGCTAGAAATTGAAACACGGTAAACACAAAGACAATAAACTGCACGACAATTGCCGTAAAGACGCAGGAGGAATAGATCTAAATCTAGATTAGATCTAGATCTACCACCCCACCGTCTCCTGCATTTTTAATCACCAATATATATATTTTTTAAAAACAACTTCAAAGCAGCTCTACAAATTAGGCCTATAATTTATGGGACTCTTGGTCAGTCGGGAGGAGGAGAAGATAAAAAAAATTTTTTTCCAAGACCGGGATCGAACCGCTCCAAAAATCATTGCACGACTTCAAACGCAGACACGCTGTCTATTCAGCCACCAGAACTTCTGAGAGAGAGGTGTAGATTAAGCATCATATATACGACACTTCCATCTTTGGTGCCATGCGGTTGGCTATACTTAGATGTAGTCACGTGATCGGAGGGGTATAATCCTGGTCTGACGTCAAACAAGATGGGTGCCTTACCTAAAAATAGTTTACGTCTTTCTACGTTTAATCGCATGTATATTAATAATGTAAACACTAAACACGGTGGGTCCACCAAAGTTCAAAGTTCAATCCGGCCAAAATAAATTTTTAATACAACAAAGGCAGAAAAATATTACTGGCTAATGTGGTAGGGTTCACTTAGACAACATGGCCACATTGGTCCATGCCATACCACATAGATCTAAATCTAGAGGCATATATACATCGCAGTGGCTACATTCACTGCGCCGTGAACGTAGTCTGCAGGCTAGGTTCACGGCGCCATGAATATAGTTGGCAGGCTACGTTCACGGCGCCCTGAATGCAGTTTGCAGGCGCCGTTGAGGCTACGTTCACGGCACTCAAGCTTCGTTTAGACGG